CTCTGGCTCTGTCTCTGGCCACGGCTCCGGCTCCGGCTCCGGCTCTGGCATCAGTGGCGGCTCTTCTCCTTCCGGCACTGGCCCCAGCGGTGTCAGCCCTACCGACATCACCGGCTCTGGCTCTCCTAAGGGTCCCACCCCCTCTAGCACCCCTGTCACTCCTGGTGGCTCCTCTCCTACCGGTGGTGTGATTGGCGGCGGCTCTGGCCACGGTTCCGGCTCTGGCTCTGGCTCTATCGGCGGATCTGGCTCTGGCTCTAGCTCTGGTCACGGTTCCGGCTCTGGCTCTGGCTCTGTCGGCGGATCTGGCTCCGGCTCTGGTGCTGGTGCTGCCACCACCCCTTGCGAGACTCTTACCGGTGAGACTGTTGTCCCTGTTGCTACCCAAACCCAGGGTGGTTCTTCTCCCAGCGCTCCTGCCGGTAACAACGGCGGCTCTCCTAGCGGTGCTTCTACTACCCCTTGCGAGACTCTCACCGGCGAGACTGTTGTTCCCGTTGCTACCAACACTGCTGGCGGTTCTTCTCCTAGCGCCCCTGCTGGCAACAACGGCGGCTCCCCTAGCGGTGCTTCTCCTACCGGTGGTGTCCCTAGCGGCAGCTCCAGCGGCTCTTCCGGCTCTTCCAGCGGCTCTTCCAGCGGCTCCTCTGGCAGCTCCAGCGGCTCCGGCTCCAGCTCCAGCGGCTCTTCCAGCGGATCCTCTGGCAGCTCCAACGGCTCCGGCTCCAGCGGCTCTGGCAGCTCCAGCGGCTCTTCCAGCGGATCCTCTGGCAGCTCTAACGGCTCCGGCTCCGGCTCCAGCGGTAGCTCCAGCGGATCCTCTGGCTCTTCGCCCAATGGCTCCGGCTCCAACGGTGCCTCTCCCAGCGGTGCCAGTGCCGATTCTGCCACTACTCCTTGTGACACCATTGTCAGCGAGACTGTTATCCCTGTTGCTACCAACACTGAGGGTGGCTCTGTTCCCACTGCTCCTGCTCAGACTGGTGCTGTGCCCACTGGCACCGCTCCCGCTGGCGGTGCTGCTCCCTCTGGTGGTGCTCCTGGTGGTGCTGCTCCTTCCGGTGCCGCTCCCTCGGGTGGTGCTGCCGGCGGTGCTGGTGGTGATGTCTCCGCCACTCCTTGCGAAACCTCCGTTAGCGAGACTGTCGTCCCCGTTGGTACCCAGACTGTGGGTGGCTCTGGTGCCGCTCCTTCTGGTGGCGCCGCTGGTGGTGAGGCTCCCTCTGGTGTTGCCAGCGTTCCTGCTGTCCCTACTTCCAGCACCGTCCCCGAGGGCGCCAGCGCTGACTCCACCACCACTCCTTGCGACACTCTCGTTACTGAGACTGTCATCCCTGTTGCTACTCAGACTGAGGGCTCTCCTGCCCCCAGCGGCACCGCCGCTGAGGGAGGCTCCGCCCCTCAGATCACCACCGCCCCTGTCGCAGGCTCCGGCTCCGGCTCGGGCTCTGATGTGGTCACTGTCACTGTCACCACCACTGTGAGCGTCGCTGCTTGCGAGTAAGCAAGCCACCAACATACCCGACATGAGACGATAGCAACGGCATGCATGGCGAAGAAAGCTCCTGTATATACCTAATTCATTTCTAATTCTAATTCTTCTGAAGGTTGTCTTAACTGTCTGCTTCCTATCTTTGTACAAAGCTGCAAGAGGTCAGAGGAACGATGTATTTGCTTTATTGTTGATATGTTCATTGCTGCAAATCCCCTTCAATGGAGTACATTCGTTTCCCGCGAGACTACCAAAAACATGTACTATCTGCCAACTGTATATTATAGCTAAGGTTCTGAATAATCGAGGAAGATTCGGTTTCACTTGTTCCGTTATAGTGATAGTAGCAGTAGTATTCAGGTATGATGCCTGAATACTGCCGGGTAATGCTGATTTCTTAGTAATCCCAACATATCAGCACGCTTACTGCTAATTGTCCAACAAATGCTTGCGTCCTTCGCTTCGAGGCTGTCCCATTCAGCCCCAGTGTTGACGTCGCCTGATCGACAGCAATCCCGCCCCGATCAGCATCCATCTTGGTTGCTACTTGCATTTCCCGCCTGGGGTTCCCAAGCCACCAAGCACCAAGGCCCCTCGAGTGCCAAATCCGCCTGCCTTGCAATTCGACTACGCGAATGCAAAGCGGGCCGATCCCAATTCCCCTTCGTGGCTCTCTCTGTCTTTCTCGCCCTCATCACATCACACCACAGCCCCTCGTCTCCCGTGCTCAGGTTATCTCCATGTTGCTTCCAGGAATAGAATCAAAGCAGACTCCTAGGAGGAACTGGATGAAGCCGGAAGCAGCGGAAGCAGCGGAAGCTTGGTTGGATATTACGGTGTGTACTCCGTACTCAGTAGCTGCTGGGGTTATTCGTACCATCACTATACTTTGCAGTACATATGCATCCTTATTGCCTTATGCAGTAATCACCACGAAAGAGTCTAGATCTTCACGTTTTCTCTTTTTCTTTTTCCTCTTCTTTCTTTTCTATTTATTTATTTTTATTGGGGAGAGAAAAGAAAATCGAAAACAAAAAAAAAGCGAAGAAGAAAATCAAACCACGAGAAGAAACGAGCCTACAGGTTACTGGGTTGGAGAACCCCTGTTGCTTAACGGAGTCGTCGTTCGACCTAACTTAACTACCAGGTAGCAAAACCGACTACTACACGGTTACTGCAGGTGCGGTTCCCATTCTGGACTACGAGGACAGAGTACTATGAGTAAGACATGCATGCATGGATGGGCTCGCACCAGACCAGGGGGATGGACGGGATGCATGCCCTAAGGAATATGGCACTACACTACACTACACTACACTACACTACACTACACTACACTACACTACACTACGCATGCAGCTTCAAATTGGACGGGGCCGGGGCTGGATGGAAATTGTTAATAACCCAATGTCACTAAGGTTATTAATTTTGATTGTGGACTTCGATACTGTATGTACTCGAGCAGTAGTCAGAAGCCAAGGGACTGTACCCATGCCCCATGCCCCTCTCGATCCGGAGAAACAGACCTGCATATTGCAGAATGATCCAAGCTGTCAAGGACCGCTATACCCACACACGTCTTCATACTCACAAACAAGTAAGAAGAGTCAATGGATCGGTGCAGTGGATAGGCAGGTAGGTGGGTGACTGTTTGTTGACCCTCGGAATTCCCCTTCCCACCTGCCCACGTAGTTGGTAGACCCCCCGGCCGCTGGCTGCCTAGTTACAGTGACTGCACCCACCCCACTCTTCCTTGCCGTACTAGACACTATACACTATACCGACGCAAAGTAAATGGAATAGTCTATCGACTATTGCCTATAGTCCACCGGTAGCCCTTCTAGACTACGTTTCTACATGCACCCCCCCCCCCCCGAATTCTGCGGATCCGACAGGAACGCGACACATCACTAATCACTACCAAGTCTGTGCTCATTATTGAGCATAACGGCGCGCCTAGCCTAGCCTGGCCGGAAAGAAAAGGGGGGCGCTCTCCGCAGTCGGCGGTCCGTATTCGCACCGACTCCTTTTTCTGGTTAATTCGGTCTAAGCTGGCAATAAATTGAATGCACGGGTAGATATCACTGCTCTCCTCCCAAAAAGTATATGGTAGTATGGATTGAGTCGCTCCTGACCTCGTGGCGGCCGTAGATCTCAAAAACGGGCATACTTAAAGGCTCCAAACTCTAAGATATTAAACTATTTCGCCGGTGGGGTGGGGCTTTAAACACTATTGAGCTGGGAAACGTGGTTCTGGAATTGCATTAAAGGTCCGGTGGCTGGAATAAGGCGTTATAGATTTATTGGTTTTTTTTTTTGTTTTTGCTTTGGCACTATAACTGACTATTTGGCCGGCTGAAAAAAAAGAAGCATCTACTCGGGGCTATTGCCAGATGAAACGGATAGGCAAGAGAAAAAAGAAAAAGAGAAAACGTTAGGAAAATGGTCAGCGTGATGTTCTCTTTTTTAACATTCTCTCGCATTAAGACTACCGAAATTTCGTAATGTCCATTCATTTGCATGTGCTGTGTGCCGTGCTGCTAGGCCATGCCTCCGCGGGATGCTTCTCTGTGGTCTCTCTCTCTTTCTTCGGAGGGTTTCGAATGGCTAAGACTACCTACCTTGTCGCTCGAGGCGGTACGGCGCTTGGCGACGAGCTGTTCGCGAAGGATCCTCTCGCGTAATTCCGAGTTGGATATGCGGGCGTGGGTAGATCTGGAGGGAGCAGGCTAGACAAAAACAATCATCATGTTAGCTTCGTTTCACGAGGGATGTTGAGAATATTGAACGGACATCATGAAAAGGCCATATCGATAGCTTTTTGGTGGTGGTAGATTTTTCTCCTCGAAAAAATTTATTCACCCACCTCGTCGGCTGCCTTCATCTCCGGATCGCTGCTGCCGCTCGGTCGCTCTGCTGGCGGTTCAGGTCGTCTTGTCGCTTCATTATCATCAGCCATCCTCTGTCGTTTGTCACCAGGAGCGGACACGGAAGACGTATTGCGCCGTTTCCGGCCTGCGGGGGCATATCTCTCGATGGAACGACGCTTCTTGCGGTCCCTTGCGTGGCCTCCTCGACTATGGCTCCGGCTGCGACTGCGCGAGCCCTGGCTGGCGCTGCGGGACCGGCCTCGACTGCGGCTGCGATCACGGTTGTACCCCCGCGAGGAGGGTCGGCGTCTGCGGTGGTCATCGCGACTTCTACTGCGGCTCAAGCGGCGGTCATCACGGGGTTTGCGGGCCTTGGCAATATCAGCGGTAAGTTCTCTCTTATCAACTCGTGAAGAATAAGGCGAAGATCTCCTCCGTCGTCGGGCGCCACTGGCATCCGACCTGGGCGACCTGGAACGCGAGCGGGACCCCGACGAGTCCCGTCGTCTGCCTTTGTCTCTCACGCCGGGCGAGCGCGAGCGCGATGCACTGCGGGAAGAGACGGATCTCCGTCTTCTGCGGTCTCTTCTGGGAGTACGTGAGCGGGAGGATGAATGGCTGCGGGAATGGGATCGAGCGCGATCACCGTAATCAGGGCTGCGTCTTCGGGGCCGTCTGCTGCGGTCTCCGCGATCTGGCGAGACGGATTTGCTGATGGACCGAAGTCGCCGGTTCCGGTCCCTACTCGAGTACCGCTGCTGCTGCTGCTGCTGCTGCTGCTGCTGGCGGCGCGGCGGTGGTGGTGACCGCGACGAGATGGATCGAGAACGTGAGCGGCTGGGGGAGTAGGAAGGCCGACGGCCTCTGCGAGGTCCAGAAGGAACGTACGAGTCAAACTCCCGCCGTCCAGGTGGCTCGCGGAAACGCTCCCTGCTGCGACGCCGGGGAGGAGACCGCGGCCGTCTGTCGAAGTCGCGACCGCCACGGCCACCGCCTCTTCTTGCGCCCCCTGGCCCTCCTCCTCGCCCACGCTCAGAGCGCTCTCTGCGTCTGATGTCCTCCAATTCTCTCTCCCTTGTGCGTTCTTGCTCCTTCTGTTTGCGGGCTTCTTCGGCGGCCTTCTCGGCTTCGATCTAAAGGGAAAAGAGGTAAGTTGGATGTCACACCAGGCACTTTTCGTGTTCGCACCTTCTCTTGTATAAGTTCCAGCTTCTTGGCCTCCAGTAGCTCCTTTGGAACACCCTGGGGATTTTCCTGAGCGCTCAGACATAGCGACCAAAGCTCCTTGCAAAATTTGGCGGTATCCTTGTCCAAGAAGCCCGTAAGCTGAATCTGAAGGGACTTCACATCGGGCTAGAGATTTAAAACAGAGCTCGTATCAGCGACATAACTTTCGAGTAAAAGGCGCACTGGTCTCGCCGCAGAAAGAGGGGACATACAAATCGGGAACCTTCCAACAAGTTGAAACAGAGTTCGATAACAACATCATCTTCGTTGCCCAAGATTTCGGAAATCTTGCCGGCAATCCACCTGCAAGTAGAACGGAGATAGTCAGGAACCAGTCCTGCTTCTTCCGTTGTGGCACTTCTTGTCCGATCAAGATCATCTGGGGAGGCAGGTCGGTCACGTACTTCTTCATGACTTCGATGTTCACTTTCTTCATGTCCACCTTCCGGCTGAATTCCGGCGGGAATTTGGTCTGCCGCAGCAGCTTGGCGTCCACGCTGGTCGCCATCTTCGCGAACGATGAGATCCGAGGAAGCAATGAGGGGCGGGAATCAGGAGATCTGGAGAGGCTGAGACATTTGGAGTGGAGGTGCGTGCGAAACGGTCGTGAGTGACGATCGAGACTGCGTGGATGGTCGGTGTGGCCGACTGTATTCCCGGAGCCTTGTCGGACCGGCTTTACTTTCCCTAAGGTATAGCTTCAATCTTGCCTTTTTGGGAATATCTCACGAAGTTGTGATTCATCATATATTCAACAAAAAAAAAAAAAACCCCCTGTCTTAGAGTCTGCTATTACAATTTTCCTTTCATTCACAATCCTACTTCGCTATTCGGTATACTTGATCTCCAGGCTGGGCGCTGATTCCCAGAGACGCAAAGTATTCATTGATGCTACATCCATACCTCGACTAAATCACTAATCGGCCTTGCGCTCAATTCCACTTCCTGAATCTCTTGACTGTACATAATCACTCCGTCATCCCATCATACAAATAACTGCAATCACCCTTGCACCAGAAACTCTAGGTGTTCATAGGAACATAGGGAGGGTAGCGATCGCCCGCCGGCGTAAACTTGGCGAGGGTAGCATCTAGCTCCGCCATCTCCTCATCGGTGATGTCCACGAGCTTGCTGTTCTCCTCCACGCGCTCCGCCGTCGTCGCCCCGGGGATGGGGATGATCGTGGGCATGCCGGGCCGGCGCGACAGCGCGCGCGTCCAGTTGATGGCGAGCTGCGCCGGCGTGCAGCCCTTCTTCCGCGCCATCTCCTCCACCTGGTGCACCAGCTGCAGGTTGATCTCGAAGTTGCCCGGCTGGAAGCGCGGGTAGTGGCGCAGCATCGAGTCCTCGGGCAGGTCGTCGAACTTCTGGAACTGGCCCGTCAACATGCCCCGGCCAATGGGCGAGTAGGCGACGATCGGGATGCCATATTGCGCGCAGGCCGCGGCCACGCCGTTCTCCAGGGGTTCCGTCGAGAATCTAATGTCACATGCGGTTAGGGGAAACAGAGTTTACTAGGTAGAGACATGGTGTAATGGGGGAACACCTACAGCGAAAGCTCAACCTCCACTGCCTCCACCTTCCCGTGCTTGACGGCCTCGTGAATCGTCTCGGCGCGGACCTCGGACAGCGAGATTCCGCCGAGTTTGCCGGTCGCGATGTATTCCTTGCTCATGACGCCGAAAGTTGTCTCGATGGGCACGGCCTGGTCCCGGCGAGCAAACTCGAACAGGTCGATCGTCTTGCGGCCCTTGAGCTGGGCCGTGCAGTCGTCGAGGGTGCGGCGAGTACCCTCCGGGCTGCCGTCGGCTTTGAACGTCTTCATGTTCATCCCACCCTTGATGCTGAGGACGACCTTGTCGGCATCTTCGGGGTACTTCTCGAAGTACTGCTCCAGGAGGACCAGGCTGTTGTACTCGAGCGGTCCGTAGAACTCGCCACCGTTCCAGAAGTTGCCTGCGTCATGAGGTAAGTACGTGGCTATGAAGGAAGGCCGAGCCGGCCAGTCGGTGACAATAAAATATGGTGTCACCTACATCCATTCTTCAGAGCGGTGCGCATAGTCTCAAAGGCCTGCTCCTGAGAGCATGGCTTGTCGCGCCAAGTCAAGCCCATGAGGCCGAAGCCGATGGGGCCTACTTCCTTGCCGTTGAGTTGGGGCATGTTGAAGATGCGTAAGGTTAGTATGAGAGGTGATTTCAAGTATATTTGAGGAGATTGGAAGCTTAGAATGTTGATTGGGACCAACGTTGACGAGGAAATGAAGGATTTATATACAGAATCGAGACCTCCGTAGGTAGCTCCGTAGCTCCGTAGTATCCGAAAGAATTACGAAGATAAGCTTTCTGGATCGTAGTCCGGCATCTTATCGGCCTTGTCTATCTCCACGCCTTAAATCCGCCCCCGGTTCGGTCACCGACCGCCAGACTCTCGCTCATTGTGACAACTTCGCTGGATGGGCGTAGCGAGATTCGGCAGCAGTGAATTAGTTATCTCGTATAGTGGTTCACTAATCATGAATTCATGTATCTTGAGAGTTTTTAAACGGACATATGGCCACGGACATGATGATCTGTGTTGATAATAGAGTAAGCCATGGTGACTCCTAGTATACCAGAGTACCCTGTGGATGTATCGTCGACCTTGGAGGAGCGGTCGTCTATCTAAGCCGTCACTCAAGCTCAGGCGACCGGGATAACCCTGACGACGGTCGAGGGAAGCTGGGCGACCTGCCCTTGTTGACCGTTATGTATCAAATAGTATATCGTATCATCCCGGAGAAGACCAGCAATATCACATTTAAACGATACCTTACTCAATGAACTGCCTGGTACTTATATCCTGGATATGATGTGAACTCTACATGCCGTCGCTGGGCAGCTCAACAGAGCTTCCTCAATTTGAGGTCGGGTGGACGAGGGGAAGGACATTTTTGTCTGTAAATGCGATGTGCTCCAATGGCAGCGCATAGATGATATCTACGTCCAGACCCAGGTCTCCACGGAACGTTATAAGATTTTGAATGATACACGGGTCAAACTGGCTATTGAAGAGGAGGCCTATTCACAAAGTGCATGGTTTCGACTCTGAGTGACATTATCATGACGCGGGTTCCTGGCTCTGGGCGTGGTTAGTGATACGGTATGGATGGAGAAAGGCCCCAGTGAAGTACAGGTTGAGGTGGTTGCCTGGCGTGACGCGTGCTTTCAATGAATGGAGTAAGGAAACAGATTGGACGATGATGCCGACGAAAAAAAGGCACTTGCAGGATTCCTGAGCTCAAGGACCCCTTCTTCGAGAGTTTGGATTGCTGGCTTCACAACGTGTGGGAGACTGCATAACCGTAATAATGCGGTGGAAGTCAATGAGGTGGGAAGAGCTGGTCATGGGCTGGCATAGCTCACAACGCCCAAAGAATTTGAGTAAACAGACCCTTTTACTACATGACAATAGATCAAGTGCTTCCATTGAGATGAATAACAGGAAGCCCGGTATACTAACAATACCCTGGAAGATTGGTGATCCTGTTCACAGATTGAAGGACCGTAGCTGATAAGGAGAGAAATGTGATAAGGATATGATTAGTAGTTCCTGACATCATGCCATCCAAAATTCCGTCAAAAGATTCTATCTATTTTGTTTGTCCGGTCCCCGAATCGAAAGAAAGACAAATTGAAACCCCGATACCCCGTTACCTGCCCGAAACCAACTCCGCTAAGAAGAGCACAAAACAAGGCATAAAGGAAGAAAAAAGCAACGCTACAACTGCACAACATTGTTCATAATCTGGACCTCCTGGCCGGGCTTGAAGGCCGGAAGACCAATGAAGGGACACCCATCACACCGGAAGGCGTCGCCCAGGGCGCAATTCCCGCAGGAACCGGGCTTGCCCTGTACGGTGAAGTCCAACTCGTTCAGATCATCGGTCTGGAGCTTCATCACGTTCAGGGCCTTGTCGGCTTTCTCCCGCTGCGCTTGTTCTTCCGCCTCGATTCGGGCGGCGAGGCCGCATGTGCAGTCCTTGCAGGCACGTCTTCTCCGGCCCTTCTTGGGTTGGCACTCGGGGGCTGTAGGAATGAGAATTTTGGTTAGCAGGATGCTTTTGGCAATACGGACGGTGAAGGTGGGGGATGCACTCACGAGGAATAGGTCTCTTCAGATCATCTTCCGACAACAGTTCATCCTCGTCGATCAATTCGTCGTCATCGTCGTAGTCGGCGTCATCGTTGATGATGCCCATCGCTAGTGGCGGGGCAGACTGGACAGGAGCGGCGCCGGTGGGGGGAGAGGGCAGGGGAGCAGTCTGGGTATTCGTAGCGGCAGCAATGGGCGTTTTCTTGGCAGCGTCCTTCTTTCCGCTCCGACGGAGGGGGATGGCAAACACCTTGCCTTGGTCGGCCTTTTCGAAGCCCTTGTCCGTCTTAAACAGCCCCGCCAAGACCGCCTCCCGCTCCTCAGCCTCCCCGAAGACATTATCCTGAGTCTGGAACTTTGCTCCCGCCTTCATAGAGGGGACCAGCGCGCCGTAGACATTCCGGTTGAGAAGCTGCAGAGCCTCGGAGCGTCGTGTGCCATCGGTGTCGGTGAGGACGAGGACGAGGTCGTATGTGTTGGCGGGGAGGGAGGCAAAACCACCGGCTATGCGGTCGAGCATCTGGAGGTCGGTGGTGGAACGATCATAGGTGGTGAAGAGGTCGCGCAACTTCTCTTCGTGGGTGGCGATGGAAGGCGGCGCGAGGAGGAGGATACGCTGTGAGGAGGGGTTGATGGACTTGACCGAAGGTGGGGGAGTCAGGTCGAAGTCGGGAGTGGTGTCGATGGTCACGAACGAGGGAGCCATAGCGACTGATCTTCCTGTATTGCTCGTGTTCTGAATATAAAGGAGTGACTGCGGTGAAATATGATTTGCGTCTGTGTCTCCAAGAAGATTGTGGTTGTGATGGCAGATTAAATGGGCGTTCGTCTCTGCGTAACCGTAATCGGCGCTGGAGTTCGTTTTTTGGCTGACTCAAAAACCGTCATCTGACAGTGACGTGATTGGTCGGTGAAGCATGTGGCAGAGATTGTCGTCGCGGGTTATCTGATTACTCAGCCGGGATGACAAATCGATACTTTCTTCCGAGGAGATTACTTAGAAGACCGGGTATGCCGTCAATGATAAGTTACTAGCTTGTAGAACAAGTGTCAAGTGGAGAGACTTGATCTGTTAGTGTGTACCATTGACTGTTGAGAGAATCGCAGACTAGTATGGTAGTGCTGTTGCACTCCTGCTATGTACTTGCCATGCCTCCGCCTCTCTCTCTGCCCCGCACTCCTGAGGACATCTTATCTTCTTATCCATCGTTCTTCCAACCTGAGACTGAGATTGTTCTTATGCATCTCTACTGTTGACAGTGACCCCTTAAGAACAGCTCACCTCTCCTACCTGGAATGACCACTGTCTTGAAGGCATTCAAGTCGGGTTACCCATCACTAATTTGTGATTGTCTATAGTTGCGCAGTCCTCGTGTTTCCCCGCTTGTTCTAATGATGTCACTGATAACCAACCGAGCGACTCTTAAGTGTCTCACATGGGGGCTGCTACTGATGTGACGGAAGATGTCGAGAGTCTTATGT